CATTGCACACGGTCGGATGGGCGCCGGGATTCCACGCACCAGCGGACATCGCCACGATGCTGCCGCCACCGCTGTCATCGCTGCTATTGCCGCTGCCTTCGTCGCCATTTTCCAACCAACAGCTATCCTCATCGCACTCGCCCTCCGCCTCTTGCGCTGCTGGTGCCGGTGTAGCTGCTCATGTGAGCTCTTCGACTGCCGCCTCAATGGACACAGCGGGGGCTACACGACCGCCCGCCAATGAAGCTGCGGGAGCAGTTCCACCGGTCGCCGGTTCCGCTGGCTTTGTCTCCGCCAGCGTCGTCGCTTCCGCTGCTGGTACGGCATAGTGTCGTTGCCACTCCCGTTGGGACCTTCTGCATCACGGACGTGCGCGTGCTGCTGCATGCGGCCGACGATTGCACGGCACCGATGGCCATACATCGCAGGCATTGCAGTCGCTGAGTGTGGTCCATGCCTCCCGCACCTCACGCACTGATGAACGTCACGCATCGGAGGGCCTGGCGGCGGACCTGACTCCGCTTGCGTGTAAACGGCGTTGCGTTTACAGTCATATGGCCCCCCTGATCCCCACGTCGGGACGTCAAAAGGTGGGTGATGAGCAAGTGGTAGTGGTGGATGAACCCACTGCTTCCGCTGCCCCTGCTGCCGCCACCGCCGTTACTGCCCCCGCTGGCCGCCGTCGCCATGACCGACCCAAAAATAATCGTCGACCATCGCATGTTGGTCGTGAGACCGTGGCCACCGTTAACGCCTGGGCTTTGCCCAGTTTCTTGATCATGACTTTGTAATACCGTGTGAACAACGTTTGCCAATTTCGCTCATGAAATGGTGGGGTCGGTCAGGAAGGACCTGAGTTCGACATCGAAAGCTGGCGGACAATGATGCGCACGATTTCCCGCTCACGTCTTACTCTGCCGACAGCCCTCATGATATTGACGAATCTGTCTGCTCTGGCGAACATTAGCTTCGGGTCCTCGCTGCAATAGATCCCAATAATGATCAAGTTGTCTCACAAGCAATGTCGTCCTATTTAGCGTCAAGAGTAGGCGCAAATGTCTATTCATTAGTGGATCACCCTCCACGCCTCAGGGACGCAGCTGCAAGCAGCTAACCGTTCTTCAATGGTCGCGTTGCAGGTCGCTTCTAGCGGAAATCCCCACTCCAGCTTGTGTGCCGTAACGAGCGATGAGTAGCCTCTTGGTGAGAGCTTGAGGGTTGTGCGATTGTGTGTGCATTCCGTCGGTGATTTGTATTGTTATTTCCTACGCATGCCTGCGGCACAACCTACAAATGCAAATCTTTTCACATATGAAGCCCTCTGCCTCATGCCCATTCCCATTTATCGCGCTCTCTGAACCAAGATCGCCAAGACCGCTCGACCTGCATGCAGGCTTACCCTAACATCGCAAGGGTGACTCGAGTGCACCCCGCGGGACACGCCTTCACTACCGATGCGCGCGAAGAAGGCTGAAGGACTTTCTCCGGGTCGTGTTCGAGATGCAGAACCAGTACAACGCCAACATCCTCTCCAACGAGACAAGCGCGTCGACGGAAAAGAGGATCATAATCGACGGAGTGGTCGGGTGCGCGGCCTTCGCCCCTGACTCCGACGATGAACCTTGTGCCACCGGTCTCTTGGCCAGCATAATTACCCCCCTTCGCTTGAGTTTTTGGAACTACTGTAGGTCGACCGCAAGGTTGCGCTTAACGTTTCCGGCATAGTTTCTGGTGTGTGCCAGGCCTTCATGGATTTTCTCGTGGTTGCTCCATTGTGGAGGTTCTCGAGTACACCTTCCAACCCTTGGGTGTTCTCCGTTTCATCTCTGCTCCTTCCAGGCTGCCCTTTGAGCTATGTACACTTGCCATCTCTCTTGGTTTGCGGCGAGCAACCAGTGCTAACAACATATTCGCCTGATTGAGAGCGTAGCATCTGATTGAGAGCGAGATTGCGCGATACGCTGTAGCCGGACTACCACTGAGAGGTGGAGCTTGCTGTGTAGCTTGAATTGAAGGGCTAGCCCGTAGCTTCAAGCCGCTACCCTGGTCATCCTGTGGGAGTCTCTCGTTGTGGAGCTACAGCGGGGAGCAGAAGCTACAGCAGAGCCCACCGCCCGACGCGATACCGCCCTGAAACAGTTTGAGCAGAAATAGCCAATCTGGGCAAATCTAGCAACTTGTCTAGCTCCTCGCTGCAGCATCCGATGACGATGACACGCATATGCTCGCGAAGCTGCTGATGAGACCTTCAATTTGCACCGCTTCTTGGAATAGCCCGTCCCCTACTTGCCAAGAAATGGCAAGAGGCGTCTGGACCCGAAATTTCAATTTTTTTGGCTCTCGCTCTCAATCAGATACTTCGCTCTCAATCAGGCGAATATGTTGTTTGCTTCGAATGCAGTCGATAGGACTTAAGGACGACTGTTTACACAGCGGTAGAAACTTGCTACTACTACTGCTCTCCGTTCAATGCACGTGACTGATCCAAGATATCATCATAAACATCGCAGGGGTCTACAATGAGCGGCATTTGATTCGTAGTCTCCAGCTCAAGTTGCACACGCCCCCAACGACCTGCACATGCTAACCCTACCTGTATTTTCAACTGTGTATGCCCGTGTGTCGAAGCGCGCTGGTTCTGTGCGCCATATTCACAGGGATAGGTGTTCGCCGGCCACCAACTGACAATCAACAAGGAACAGGGAGTACAATGTTTTGCCGTTCACCACATCAATACGGATCTCGAAGATCGTGTGAACTCGCATGCGGTGACCGAATGATGCATACTAGGGCCAACCCTGCTCACCTTGATGTACTACAGTATGGTATACACGTATTTCTTGATGCACAACCCGACGCAAAACAGGAGCGCGTGTGCAGTACTTCATTTAGCCCGATCGACGTCAATTACTGCCACGTCAGCAGAATAAATTAGCACAACAATGCAGTGTGGCGGCCATCTTATTGTATTTGACAATAAAAGATGCGGCAAGGTGTCGAGGAAGATGATGTCAGGAAGATGTTGGCGTCGGGTAGAATATTTTTTACGCTTGAGGAAACGTAGAAATACCATTTAATCCCCACAGCAGTCACATAGACAAGACTATCCCGGACTCCTTTTTGCTGTGGACATAACGCTTGTTGTTGCGATTTGTCGATAAAATAGTATATCGCCCATTGCTTGAGTACTATCTTGGGTCCGTTGCCCTTGAAACGCTTGTGGGCCATCTTTCACTGCAATAGGTATTAGCTAGTTCATATATAGTTGAGTAAAACGTTATTTACTCTCGACGCCTTGACGATCACTGCTACGTAGCTACATTATTGCTGTGCTCCGTGTTTTTCAGAAGGACGAGAGAATATTTTGACAATATTATATTTGTAGTCAAACGCCACATCATGCGGCGAACGGAGTGAATCCCAGTTCAATGGAAGGATCCATGAAGAGTGAGAGTCCTTCGTAAAGTCCTGAAATACCCAACTCCTGACTACATCCTTGCAAATCCTCAAAAAAGCCTGGGCACAATGGTAATAGACAGTGAGTGGCAGCAAACATTGCAATATTCTTGCCTCGAGCCTGTGAAATTGTTGTCGGTGCAATGTCCACCTTTCCGGGACCGTAAAATGTGTTTTTGCCCACAGCCTTGGCGCCGTAGTCTCGCAACGTGAACCTTGAGTGAAACGTCGAAACCAACATCATCAGTCGCGATGGACGCCGAAAGGCTTCAAGATCTGACCGGTCGGGTACTATTTTCTTCACCGCCTCAAAAGACGACTTGCGAGATGGTTTTCACTTCACATTGTTTCACTTCCCACATTTTGCGAAACACATCATCGCCCAATTATTGTCGGAATGAAAACGCCACTCAATAATGGCGATTTGATAGCCCCCGCAGTCTAGTTGGTTTCCTCAAAAACCTTCTTGTGGTCGGGGTCAGAGGTTCGAATCCCGGCATAAGCGAGCTTGCCAAGTGAGTTTTTCTCTCGCTTCCGTTCCTGGCCTTGGTGGAAAGGTTTAGTTCGTGTGCGTACAAGAGGGTTCTGTACCATTCTCGAAGGGACCTCACGGAGATGGACCCTTCTGTGTGACCACGGATTGGAGAAAACGGCACAAGTGCTGTGAGCGCTGATTTGGAAGCAAGGACAAAAAAGAAAAACTACATATTCTTGAACCGATAAATAGAAAAGGCAGTGAAAGTTCTTGTGCCGAGGTTTTCACTGGTAGACGAAGTTTGAGGTCACGCATCCATATTGTATTGGGGAAATTTAACCGCTGGTGTCCGAAGCTCTTGGGATGTATTTCCATCAAGGGACACGAAGGAGCGGCCGCAACCGTTTAAAACGCGTTAAACAGAGCGTACAGTAGTGCATCGGCACGTTGTTTCGATTACTTACTGTCCTCTACAACGGCGGTGCGGGATGACCGAATGGAACAAACGACCAATATTTCCGGTTCAGAGAGTTCTCCTCGTCTCGACGGTGTCGGTGCTGTGCAGGAGAGCAGGAGTGACGACAGATCGAAAACAGAAAAAATGCCGACCGGTGCGGTGCAGAACATACCCCAACTCACTATAGCCTTTGCAGTTGAGACATGTTTTTTCTTACAAAAATGCGGTCGCCGAAAAACCAGAAATGAAAAAAGTTCGCCAGTACACACAAGTGTTGGGTGCATCTCATCGTAACACGGTGCTCATTCTCTCGAGGCAAAGGGAAAGAAGTTCTCATTGGGGGGTATTCGAACTGCTCGTTCACTTCTTCTCGATGATGTTCATCCGTGTGAATGGTCGGGCCGAAGACCAAAGCGCATTGGTTTTCGATAATATATGGGACAAGAGATCAGCATCTGATGCTGAATGGCACGTACGTGTCGCCACCCCACACGCGCAACTCAGGTGCCTCTCGGACGGATCCGAGATATTACTCTATTCGCGGTCAGGGCTTCCACGGTAAGGCGGAATTCCATCATAGAACAAAACGACAAAAGGTACGAAAGTGTGAAAATAATTAATCCTGCCGGGAGGGAATCAAGACTAGTTCGCATGCTAGCCCCCCAAAGAAAATTCCATCGAGATTATTCGGTACTGAATTCAAGACTGGTTCCATGCGTAATTCAGTTCAAGGAATTACATGTAGCTGTCACATCAAGCCGTCACATGAAGCCGTCACGGACAGCTTATCAAAAGATAATTCACAGGCCAGATCATTTGCATGAGAAAGGCTTACAAACACACACGGCACCTGAGATCTATTCAAGCGGAACGTGAATACAACGGTTCCGCCATAGAGCGAGCGACCCATCCACCCGCCCGAAATGTGCCTTACAAGGCTCCACCTAAACTAAAACATCAACATTCACCTGTTGTCTTCCTGCCCATGCCACGTTGATCGACATCTTTGGTTGGCCAGTCGAGCAAGCACTATTGCCTTCGAAACGGAGGGTGATATGGTTCGTTCAAGCTCCGAAAGTGCGCCACTCTTTGCTATTAGATGAATCGCAAACCAGTCGACGGGATGAACGTTCTAGGTCGACGCGGTCAAGACGAACCCAGTTCCGTGAATCTCTGCCATGTCCTACCCGTCCCTTTGTCTGCGCCCTCGCTGCTCTAGGTCGCTGAGTGCGACAATGAGAATGGGATGAGGTACGCCACTCACACACGAACACCAACAACGTTCGCATTCGAATCCGTGCCACGACAGCCATCTGGCTTCATCAAGTTCTCCGTAGTGAGCGTTCTCCAGGCGAGTGCTGCCACCAAAGCCAGAGCCGCAGCGGACGCGTCAAACACGAAGCGGTAGTCCACCCAGCCACCGAAAGCGTCAAGCGTGGAGGGAGACACAGACCATGCGTATACAATCGCATAGCCGGCCGGGCCTATGAAGCGACCCAGGCTTTCGGCCGTGTTGAAAAGCCCGCCGAGCTTCCCCCGCATGTTCGACGGAACCAGAGTGGTTGACCCGATGGACAGTGCCAGGTCGACCTGCTTCGTTTGCGAATGTAGATGAGATCAGGCGCTCGGAGTTAATCGTATGGGCCATTTCGGAGGGGTGGGGCTTCAAAGGATTGCGAAGACTTCTTGGAGGCATGTTCAGGAAACAGAATGATGTTTAGGTTATAGCTACCCTTGTGCTTGCCGTTAACAATGTGACAGATGGAGAGACCTACTCAGGAGAGCGGAAGGCATGGTGTACGTAGCTGGCTACATGGGTGTCGGGGATGGCTCAGCCTTCGCTAGCACCTGGCTGACCGGACGAAAGGAAATGCTAGAGGTAATATTTACCTTTCTGCCAACGCGGGGTTACCTGGTGGTCGCCGTCAAGACCCCTGAGGTATTTTTTCTGGTTTCGCGACTGTCGACATTTTCAAAACATTCTCCGTGACTTCGAATACCTCGGAGTAACGTAGTGTTTGGTCCACATAGATGTGTATACTGAAATACAATGAATTGCCAAACGCGGGTCGACAGGTGTTGTCAGACAGTCGTCTTGATAGTGTACAGACCGCTTCTCGTCTCAAGGGCGTGGAGAGGGGCCGACCTGGTCAGCAACCACACTACCCGACGAGGTACTGGACAGAGGCTGCATTCGACATGAACACAACAACAACAACAACAACAACAACAACAACAACAACAACTCACCGCCCCGCAGCTGCAATTTGCGAGCGTGTTGGCCGCTACGGAAACGCCGACAAGAGAGTTGAAGTTCCAGCTGAAGACATTAACCGCAGGGATAGCAAGGAACGCGGCGATTCCGATCCGGCAGCCTAGCCGCTGCCAGGTCGTGATGCCGACCATTTTGATGAGAGGGGGGAACAACAACAGCTGGCAACATGCCATCAGGACGCCCGTCATGACCAACACCTGGCGTACGTCGAACAAGAACAAAAGCGAAACACAAGTTGGAACGCGTGGTTGATGCTCGCCCGTGCACGATACCTGCAGACACGCTCCCTCGAATAACCTCGACGCTGGACCCTTACCCCCAGTCTCCTACAGCGCCCCCGCCACCGGCGACCCAGTGCCATTTACTTGAAAATATTTTCCTAATGCGGGCTTCTATATATATAGCACTCTGATCGGCCTGCGACCGTGGTCGACGAGCTAGTGAACTGAACTCATATATAGATACATACAAGGAAGTTCCGCCGAGCTGGCAATCCGCATACCAGCCCCCTTCATTCTCGCCACTACAACCCGGGTGACCCTGAAGTTAAGAAGCTCTGAAACCTACGTTCCGTACTATTGACGTACCTGCCCATTGACGTGGACAAGGATGGGCATCATACATACTTTGGTAGATTGACCATCCATCTGGCGTATCGACGACAAGCTCAAAGGATAAACCTCCATCGACGATAAGAACAAACAAGCTAGCGCTACACCCGTCGAGGTGCACCAGCCGGTTTCATGGCAACGGGAAAACATTGCATTGTCTCCCGAAAGCACCAGGTATCTACAACAGTGTTATTATCATCAACGGTGGGCACGAAGGCGGCAACGAGGTGCCGCCCTGGCAACGCACTCAATCATCTACCGTAGCCAAGCGAGCACCATGCGCACGCCCCTGCCTGCTCAATTCCAACTCGACAAACTAACATCGACCGTCCACGCCGGGCGTTTGGGGTACATATTATTTTCATCCAAGACAAGAGCGCCAATGCGGCGGGTAGTCTCCACGCGCCTCGGTACACGCCGGCTGCATCGAGAAATCTCTGCACACGGGTCAACCGGTCCAACAACCATCGCCGACCCACTTCACCTTTCCAATCTCTACGGTGCTCCAGCCGAGCCCTCCGACGTCCGGGGTGCTCAACGCGAACAGCGGGTACACCTCGTCGAAACCGATCGAAACGGTCTGGGGGTTCGTTTGCGGGACAGCACGCGGGAGGATGGGCACAACCGCACGCCCGCGGGATCGAACCCGAGATTCCATGGACCGGCATGGGAAAGGAATCATGAGGTACATTAGGCCGTTCGTTGGGTGATCAAGGACGAATACCCGCACCACCTTGGTCCAAACGAACGAAAGTACCCACGGTAGGTTGAGGGCGGAGCACCAAGGGGCGTGAAACAACGAAATTGCCACGGGGAACATTTTGCAGCAACCAATTTGGTGGAATATTGAGATGGAGAGCGGGGGCCGGCAGATGCTGAGCGGCGTACGACACCACCGTGTGAGTATGCCAAGATCGGGATGGCCTTGTGCCGCCAGAGTGGGAGCTATCACACATGCCATAGACCAAAGTTGTTGGCTCTAGCCCTCTACAACCAGAAGGGCACCATCGCGGACAAAGTTGACCTTAGACCGATCCCGTCAAAAATGGAGCTTCTTCCCAGCATGGATCGGTCGGTAATCGAACCACCTTGGTTGTCAAGCAATCGAGTCTTCATGAATACCGCATCTACGGTACTCGCCGAGACAGAATTTAGCGGGGGACCCTCGAGGCGTGCACAACGCGCGCGCACAGTGGGCTTCGGGAATTGTCACAGGCCGAAACTGACCTCTCTTACCGTTCTGCTGGTGGCTTTGAGACAATTGTTCTTGATACCCCGCGAGTGGGCCAAAGCAAAGGTTGTGTCATGCGAAAACAGCACCCACTTGCTCGTCCAGTCAATCAATTCAGAAAACTCACCGAGATTATGCATGTAAGGAAAAGAACCATTTTGACGTGCGGTGTGGCCAGCAACCCGCTTGGTCCTAGTAACCCGGGCTCGTTTCCCTTCTTGGACACCGAAACCTGTTCGGGAACGCCGCTGGTGGTGGTGCGGTACACGATCGACTCGATACAAATGGAATTGGCAAGGGCGGTCGGCGGGTACATGTCACTCTGTATGCACATCGTATGGCGAAGCAATACACATGTCTGTCTTATCCCCCCGTCGGCGACCCGACACATCTGTTGAACATCAGACCTCAACGTGGCCCTTGGCCCGCTTGTTCCACGATTGATAGCCGTACATTTTGTGGCATCTCATGAACTCTGTGCATCCATCCATGTTCAGTTGATGCGTCCCCATCGGCCTCAGAGAACAGATTGTTGGAGGGGGAACACGCAAATAGTACATGGCGCACTCGCAGACGGGATACGCGCTGTCAAACCCTTTTGGCCCATGGAACTGGGGCGTGGCCTAACGTTGCCGTGCTTAACGCCTGTGAGACACTGTTTGCAGTGTGGGTCGAGAACAGAATGTTCCCGGTTTTCCGCTCCAGGTAGTTGAAAACGCCCAAAACCGACAAACCAACTCTTTGCTGTCGGGCTTTTGTCGCATGCCGTAATTCTCAGCCACAGCAGCAACTCTGCCAGTGCCGGGGGAGGGGATTGATATTCTCCCTCGCACGCGGTGGCATCTCACACCTGTGTTGTTCGACGTAATCCTTTGTCTCTGGGAGGAAGAAAACGACGAGGACGAGGACGAGAACCGACATCACCGCCCCCACCAGGTTCGGCAGCAGGAACGGAAACCTGAATTTGAGGATCATGAAGCACGGATGATGAAGCGTGTACATGTATCATGTTGATGGGAAGGGGGGGGGGGCGTACTCTTATGTTTTGCGTGCCATAACGGTTAGGCCATTGNTTACCCTCCTCTTGGTCTGGGGGGACGAGAGGGGGGGGGGGTCGCATGTAGGGCATGGCCTCTAATTTTCAGGGGGGGTTCGGGTACGGGATGGGGATCGGATCTAGGTGCAAAACAATCTCGACATTTCGCCTTACAATCTTACTTGTGGGGTTTCAGTTTTACATCAATCTCCACTCGATGCGTCCATGTGTCCGGTATTCTCAGACATCAGTCAACCCATGAAGTTTTCAGCACGAAGCTATCCTCACTTAACGCTTCTATGTGTCCGGCAATCTCAAATACCAATCAACCTGTGAGGTTTCCGTATGCAGCTATCCTCACGATTCTATGTGTCCGGCATTCTCAAACACCGATCAACCTGTGAGGTTTCAGTACGCAGCTATCCTCACTCAATTCGTCTCTATATGTCCAGCCTGAAACATCGATCCACCTTTGAGGTTTCAGCATTTGGCTATCCTCACGCGTCTATGGGGTGATGAGAAGGGGGGGGAGTTGTGGCAGAAACCGTGTGCACTCACATTCAGAATTCCTCTAACGGCTTTTGAAGGAGGCCGTCTTTGTCCCTCAATTAGTGGCAAGACACAGCGCCAAGAAAAAAAGGGAAGCGAGATAGAGACGGCGAAAGGAAGGACAGATAATGTATTTTCAACGACTGAGAGGCAGCAGCCCGAGGGGACGCAGAGCTAAGTGGACGGGGTAGGAGGGACCGAATGCGCGCGTCGGGAGAAAGCTACACCAGAACGACGGTTTATGCATGATTGTCGGAGAATGCTGAAAGCACCGAGCCCACCTGCCGAACAGGCCGGTTGCGGAAAAAAATTCCGGGTAGTGCAGAGCTGGTTGCGCCAAGAGACCCCCGATTCCCGTGCCAAAAATCAAGCTGATGGCCGTAGCAGCTGCAGAACAGCATTCAAAGAAACCCAGGTGTTTCGCGGGGCCGAGGGGGGCATGGCATTGGACACGGCAAGCACGTGAAAAGTGCGGTCGGCTTGCCAAGACGAGGCTGGGAATCTGTCACAACATGCTTACTCGATTCGAGGGGAGTGGTTTCTGTTCGCTTCGCGTGGACGATGGTCCAACTCTTACTGTGCAGATTATAGCCGAAGTGAAAAAAAAAGTGCCTGTCGCTTGTACGAACTCGGCAGCATGCTACATCGCAATATTCAAACGACGACACGGACGACCCATGAAAATATTCTCCGAAGAGTAAGAAAAAGTGTGAGCCCGTTTGTTTAGACGTACGATGGAAGAAGCTCACTCAGCAAGCGTCGTCGGAAAGATTAATCGGGCCAGAGGCACAGTAAATACCTGATGACCACCATCACCACAGCACGGGGAGCCTCCCGAACCCCGTGCCGGGGATAAATCGATGACACCAAGAAAGAAAAACTGTGTCCGCGAGGCCAAGCTCGCCCCCCGGGTAGCATGCCCCAAAAACAAGAAACAAAATGTGCTCACCGCTAGTGTAGGTCATCCCTGTTGTACAAGCAGCAGTCAGCGGGTGGGGGAGGCAAGAATCGGGTCAGCCGCTCACTGTACGGTAATTAGCGATTTGACGGGACCGTTGTTGCCCACCGGTTGGAAATGCGAAACAAAAGTGGGCAACTTGTGTGCAGGGTTTACGGACTGGGGGTACCTACGTCGGGAAATAATCAAGAGAACGCTGCGCGTGAGGGCCACAACCGATTGGAGAGACCAAAGAGCCCTGCACGGGGGACCGGGCGACACTCGTGTGATTTGATTGCAGATGTTGCGTCGAAGAGTCACATGCGGCGCATGGGGCCCTCTCCACCTATGGAGGGAGAACCGACGCACCTTGGACGACGTGCTTTTTCCCGCAAACCTCACTCAGCGTGGTTCGGAGGGCAGGCATGATGCCGTTCGTCAGTCCGAGAACCAACCTGCGTTTCGATTGTAATGCAGACCCGTTTGAGATGCAAAGGTATGAATTTGCCAAGCACGTGTGACTCAAGTCACGGTTGGCAAGTATGGTCTCACGATAGTCTTGTTGGATGATGATGCCACGGCCAATCATGTCGCAGGCTGCTTGACACGTTCGTACGATACATATCGCCGAGCAGCAGGGGAACAAATCAAGCAGCAACAACATCGTCTGTGAACCAGCAATACAGCAGTGCCATAAGAAGCACCTATCTTGAGCGAGGCCCAACCCTTATTTTGTCCCCACCACTGAGCAAAGGCTTCATGTAGGAAATACGGTGGCGCCGGCCGCTACGCTCAATTTCGTAGAGCCTAACATTATTTCGAACCTAAAACTTACGAGCGGGTGGGCACTGAATGTGATCAACGCGCGACAACAGAGGAGTTGTCCGGAAAGGGATTTACGAAAGACAAGTGCGGCCATCTTCCTGGGGGCACCGCAGGAAAGGAGGGGAAGAGTGAACGCGTGCACAAGGCATCGTGGGCAAGAGCCACGCGATGGAGTCAGGAGCGGAAGGTCTTGCGCGATAACAACATGACGTGGACTGATCAAGCGCCAACGGGACTTTCTCGCTGGGAATCAATGTTTCCCCAGCCTCGGAAGGAAAATAAACGGTTGGGTGAGGATTAACAACTTCCCTGAAGAGAAACAAACCAAAGAACCCAAACCACGACGTGACCCCAAAGAAGAGGAGGGAAAGGCTGAAAACAAAAGCGGGCAAAAGTTCTTGGCGTTAGCTCATTCAACGCTCCTGGTTCCTGGTCAGGATATTATAGGAATCAGGAGCTAGCAATATATTAAAGGAGTCGGCTACTCATCGAAACATGCGCCCTCCGACATGCGGTGGTGCGGATGATTGTTTGTCGTGAATTGGGCTAGTACCTCCTACGCACCCACCAAATGCGACACACACACCTATCTGAAACGGGAGGAGTTTGTTATAGGTTTAATGTGATGCTCGCCCCTAAAAATAGGTGCCATAACGGACAACATTGGCTTCAGGAGCGGGAGTAAGAAAGGACGTCTACTACACAGCAAGCTGTTGCGAAAAAGAGAAAAAGGCAATGGATGAGGAACATGGAGAATCTAAAACAGGTCGAGCAGCGACCACATTTTCAACGCGCGCTTCACACCGACCGCGACCACGGCCATGACTACTACACCGCGCTGACGGGCTCGTCGATGTCCACAACAAGCCAGAGAGACAATTCCCAGAACTCTTGTCGCCGTATTGAAAGATCGCCAACGAACCTCGTTGTGATAGCCATCGTGTAGCTCCTGGATATCCCGAAGAGCACGGAGAAAGTAATCATCGACAGCAGGCCCATGATGATCACCGGTTTCCTCCCGAAGCGGTCGGTAACGAAGCCCCAGAAATAGCCACTCAAGAACCGCCCGAACGTGAAAGAGCTCGCCACGTATCCGGCGTAGAACCCTGGAATTTGGTGGGACACGTCGAGCGTCGTCATCGTGAAAGACAAAGGGAAGGTGCTGCACTACGGCTGATGGGTAGCAATGGAAGGAATGGGTAGCGATGTGTAGAGCGAGAGAGGCGAAGGACAAAACGCGAGTTATTCCTGTGGCAGCGTTTAGATCCGCCATCACCAAGTGGGCCCATTGTAAGTGACCAGCTGTGTCATGCTTGCGTATCGGCTTCGGTGGGGAGCCAAAGTAACAACAGCAACAACAACAACAACAACTGCTACTTGTAGACGAGATGGCGACGACGGCGACCGTCGTCAACACTATCTGTAACGTCATCACGAGAGGTGTGAGCCAAATAAGACTAGCGGCACCAAATGTAGCCTGAAAGTTACCTATACCTGCTTCCGTCTGTTTCGCTGGCGTGACGGCAACCGTACCGACTTGCGCGCCTTCGAAAGCTTGGCCTTCCGGCCGCTCGTGTAACCTACTCCTTCTGCAGGCCTACAGCCACGCTCCCTTGGCTCTCCTTCTCGTACACGCGCATTTTTATTCACCCCCGCTGCTGCCTCACTCACCGACTTCGTTCGTGTCCAGCGAGAGGAGATGCTTCACCATCGTCCCACTGTAGGGGAATAGATTCACCAGCATGTAGATGTTCATCGTCATACCGAGGCCGATCAGACAGACCTGCTCGGGGGAGAAGGAGATAAAAGAGCGCCTCGGCCGTTAGTTAGGCTGCCCTCTCGAGAGCGGGAGGTTCGTGAGGGGTGATGGCGCGGGGTCTTGCAGCCGAAAGGCAAAGAGGTGGTAAGCACGTCACACCTCGGAACGAACCCGAACATGCTCGAAAACAAATTGCATGAAAGGGACCAAAAAGTCACTCAGTTACAGTAGTAGAGATCCCTGTCTAGTGCCGCTATGAGCCTAGAAAATTCACCGGCACAAAACCGAACCGGCACCAGCCAAAGCATTGTGAAGGACTTGGAAGTTCGCGGTGTGCCCACCGAAAACACCGGCCCTACACCGGGCACCGGTACTATCCAACCGGCTCCAAACAGGGACCTCTACTGTGTCGTGTTGACCCTCTGAAGCGCCTTCTGCGGTGCCCGACTGGCAGACGTCGGGGGGGCAGGAGATACTTTGGTGTCCTTTCCCTCCCGTCATATTTGATTGTTGGCACCGCTTTCCGACCTTTCATTCCCACAAAAAATGCATGTCCATGTAGTGCGCAAATCGTCCCATATATTGCCTACAAATATGACGTGCCTTCATGGATGATAGTTGACACCGTTCCAGCAGTATCGTCAGGCCTCGCTTTCGCAACCCGGTCCATTTTCCCCGACACAAACCTGATCAACCTCCATATTTGTATGTTTCACTTGGTTCGGGGGAGTGCTTGGCCTTCCTTCCCCACAACTTCGTGTTCCCCGACTTTGTGGGTGTCACTCGCTGGGCTGGCACACGCATGTGTTTTCACGCCCTCTTGCTCCGCTGGCTATTAGCATAGTAGAGATGCTGTCCATCTAACAAAAGTACAACCCGCGTTCTTCAACTCGTTTGAGCTGATGGACCTCGGTTTTAACCGCAGGGTTGTACAATATTCCTTGAATCAGTGCTGCCCCCATGCGGTTCATCGGTTTACAGGCGGGGGGGGAATGTTCAGGCCCACCGTTGGTAACTGCCTACCTCCTTCATGGCAAATCCAAGCGCCTTACCCGAAAGACGCGAATCAAACTAATGTGTTTGTCAATGCATGGCCACCTCGGCATGAACGCAACCGAGCGGTCGCTGACTTCTTAGGCCGGGTGATGCAGTGCTTACGGCGATGCCTCACCACCGAATAATAGATGAGGGTCAAAAAGTTCGTTGAACATTGGAAGCACGTCGCATTCTGGTAATATAGCAGGCCAGCGACAACGGGGTTGTCGTCATGGACGATTCACCCCTTAAGGCCGAAGAAATCCGAAAGCTTCCCAATCATGGATGAGAACTGAGGATGGGTCTTGTCCCCGCAGTTTTCCATGGAAAATCGAAAATCGAAAATTCCGCTTTTAACTGCATGTAAACAAGGATCTCTATTGCTGTACCTATCTCCGCACGTAGCGCTGAAAGGGTGGTATCGTATCCATCCATAGTCGGGTCTTGGCGGTTCGACCATGCATCGTTTAGACACTCAGCTCAGACCGTACCTGTCCTTCTTTAGTGTTTTTTTGGTTTGGTTTTTACTCCCATCATTGGACTCTGTCGTCTGCCCCTCTGGCCCCTATCCTCCACTTCTTCTAGCTCGACGACCCAACCGGGGTCACATAGGAGGGGGGGGCTGGACCCCCTCGTGCGGTTCATGCCTGAGGTATTTTTATCGCGAGAAGGGTACAGCAATCCCTTCCCTCGCGACTTACGAAGTCGATTATGGTTTACTAACAAACGAGCTTTGCAGCGCGTCGCTTTCATCCTAGACCAGGATTTATTTAGTGAGAAAAAAACTATCCCTGCCGGGACTCGAACCCATGACCTGGCCCTTAGCAGGCTGCGAGGCTACCCACTAGACCACCGGGGCGACCGGGTAGTGTGTGTAACAATGGTTACACACACTTCTCCCAAGCAAAAGTCATATGCAGGGTACGCAAACATGCCATGCACCCATGGGTACGCAAATATGCCATGCACCCATGCCCTCGACAGACCGAAAACACCACCTGCAGGCGAAAAAAAAGGCAAGATGCTCGAACCCCTGACATGCACTGGTGTTTCACGTATGTGTGTCCCTTCAACCAACAACAAATTGATCCAATTCTAGCGCTTCTAAAAACTACACTACATGCTCTGCTTTGGCAGGAGCACGAAACCGGCTTAAGACCCTAAACGCTAACAACCCTATCCCTAACCCCAAACCCACCCGACAGGTGCTAGGTTGGCGCTGGGTGGCTGAGGTCTAGGTTGGAATGCCAGGCATGGCGCGAGGTTGGTGTTGACGGGGAAGAATCTAGTCTACGTCGTTACTGCTTGGATAGGTGCTAGGTCGGCGTTGATTGGATAAATCTACGTTGACATTGCCTGGACAGGTGCTAGGTTGGTCCTGATGTGGCTAGGTGCTACGTTGGTGGGCCTTCGAGTAGGGCTAGGTCGCTCATGGTTGGTAAACGGTGTTCGTGCAGGTCTGGAAGACGGGACTGCCAAGTTGTCGGTGCATGGCTTATGTACGTACCGATGGGTGCATTCAATATTTTCTCTTCTCCAGCAGTACACCCATTCCTCCGCACTATTCCCTTCTTAGAAAACGGTATTGCAGGCTACGAGGTGCACAGACCACAAGATATTCAGTGATAACTTGTTCAACTGCCGCGTCTCGGTAGTCTTCGATGTGAGAAGGCGTGGCGGGGAGAAGAAGGAGAACGATTCAAAATGGATGGGGCTGAAATGTAGCTGGTGGTGACGTACTGCTGTACCTCTCGTATCGGGAACTGGCCCGTCGCCCTGCTTTCGGTGTCCCTCCAGTCCTGCTGCTTCTTCTGGTGCCTCCTCCGCTCCTGCTGTCTCTGGGTGCTGCCGTACTTGCCTCTGTTGGGCCTTCCTAACAGGCTGGTCGACTCACTCATCTCCATCTCCGCGTCATTGCCACTGGTCATGTTGAGTGGTGAGTGTGTGCTTGAGGTCGGGGGCGATCGATCCTTTGTACGAAAATAAGCACAGAGTAGACTGGCTAACGTGTTTGGCGGGTTGTCACAGCTAGTGAGGTGCGCACATAATGCCAATGTACACTGGTTTTCATACCCAAAAAAAAAAATACTGCGGGATGGTTGTCAACGATGTAGAGTTTGGGATGAAATGAGGCCTCCGGCTACGAAAAGCCCGGAGACTNGTCAACGCGGTAGTCGCTTAGAATACCAACCCCAGTCAAATCAAATACCTAGCAGTTGGGTGGGCGGGGACGGCTGTTCTTCCTACCGTACTCTCCCTCCATTAGGGTTGGGAAGGCTTGTCACGAGTGGGTGCTCGCTCCAAGTCTTCTCTGCAGGGAATCTGTTCTCTTCTGCAGAACCCCTTCGCGGTTCCATGATTTCGACATTATTCTACTGCGGGATAGTTGTCAAGGATGTAGAGTTTGGGATGAAATGAGGCCTCCGGCTACGGCACGCGATCCACCCATACTTCACGCTTCGGCTTTCATGCTGTGTCGGTGCCTGATGTCTGATATTTTATCCCAAACTTCCGTAACTACTAGTAAATCGAGTTTCGATAGCCACTGGTCCAAGTCCCTTTCGATCGATCCTTTGTACGAAAAGAAGCACAGAGTAGATTGGCTAACGTATTTGGCGGGGTTGTCACAGTTATTGAGGTGCGCACAGAATGCCAATGTACACTGGTTTACGTACCCAAAAAAAATATGTGTAAATATATATATGCCCCTGTGGTCTATTAGTGGGTATCCTCGCAGCCGACGAAGGGCCAGATCATGGGTTCGAGTTCAGGCATAGTGAGTTTTTTCTCTCTAAATCTTGGTCTAAGTTGGAAGCGACGCGCTGCAACGTTCTTTGTAAACTTGATCGACTTCATTGTCGATATCGACTTAACCGTCGCGAGGGAAGGGATTGCTGTACCCTTCTCGCGGTAAAAATATCTCAGGCAGGCACCGCAGGAGGTACGTGGGGACGAAAGACTATAAAAAGTAGAGAAAAAACCGGCGTGGGTACCCCCTCCTCTGGCGTGGGTACCTTCTCCTGTGTGACCCCCGGACGGTGCATCTAGCTAGTCACAGTCATCCAGTACGCTGAGAAGTGTAAGTGCACATACGCGGCAAACGTACGTAGTGTGCACCGAAGAGTAAGCAGGCGGCGCCAGAGATGGGACAAAAAAAAAATAACATGCGCGTGGGCACAGCACGCCTATCATTGCGTGCACAACAATGCGTGGTGTGACGGCGGGTCAATTGGAGGTTGGAAATTGGAGTACATGTGGTTCCCTACAACAGCAGTTTGTTCCCTTTCTACCGTATTCGAGAGGTGCTGCGAGGGCACATCATCAGCTCTGCCTGTCGTCAGCATAGGCCTGGATTAGCAAGTCAAAAAAACGTTCCCGCGAAAGTAACCCGGGACACCGGTGGGGGATACCGGAAAACATTTATACCTCCAGGCGTAATCTCCTTCCTCGCTGTTTGCAAACTCTCCTGGGTGCTGCTGTGCGCTCGTCATCGACACTCAGTGTGGGTTCGTCGCGAAAAATCGGACACACAGAGCGGAGGGTCTCTGCGGGTTGCAGCGCCCAGCGCGCCCGGCTGATGTGTGTGTGTGCTGCTTGGCTCGAATGCTTCGCATAGGGGACCGTGTGTGTGCAGTTTGATGGAAAGGGTGACAAGGCAGGGGATCGGGTGACAGGGCAGGCGCCCGTCATGCATTGCACGAACCTGGTGGTGCGCACCCCGAATCAGCGTTTTTTCCTTCTCGTTCTTATGTGGCGCCTGCCTTCACGCTTTTTTTCCTCTCGGTAGTATAGAACGGGTGTGACGGCGGGTCAATTGGAGGTTGGAAATCGGAGTACATGTGATTCCCTACAACAGCAGTTTGTTCCCTTTCTACCGTGTTCGAGAGGTGCTGCGAGGGCACATCATCAGCTCTGCCTGTCGTCAGCATAGGTCTGGGTTAGCAAGTCAAAAAAACGTTCCCGCGAAAGTAACCCGGGAAAGCAGTCGGGGACACCGGAAAACATTCTTTACCTCCGGGCGTAATCTCCTTCCTCGCTGTTTGTAAGCTCTCCTGGGTGCTGCTGTGCGCTCGTCATCGACACTCAGTGTGGGTTACGCTGAGAGAAATCTGACACACAGAGACCAGAAGGGTCTCTGCGGGTTGCAGCGCCCAGCGCGCCCGGCTGATGTGTGTGTGTGTTGCTGCTTGGCTAGAATGCTTCGCATAGGGGGCCGCCTACGCCTATATATACTTCATTAATCTAGATGTAGGATTTAGAGGGGGTGCCGGGAAGTGTAATTCCGCCGCTCCCGACGTTGAGGAGTTATTCNTCTCCTGGGTGCTGCTGTGCGCTCGTCATCGACACTCAGTGTGGGTTACGCTGAGAGAAATCTGACACACAGAGACCAGAAGGGTCTCTGCGGGTTGCAGCGCCCAGCGCGCCCGGCTGATGTGTGTGTGTGTTGCTGCTTGGCTAGAATGCTTCGCATAGGGGGCCGCCTACGCCTATATATACTTCATTAATCTAGATGTAGGATTTAGAGGGGGTGCCGGGAAGTGTAATTCCGCCGCTCCCGACGTTGAGGAGTTATTCATCTATGAGGCCTTGGATTTTGAGCCAAAAGCAGGGGATGGAGGCCCAATGTCCCTGTAACGGCCGTTTTATTTTTCGCGACCCGAACCAGAAGCAGCAGCAGCGGCTACAGCAGCAGTGCAGCAGCTATTTAGTAGCAGAAATAGTAGTGCAGCAACTACATATAGTAGCAGCAACAGCAGTGTAGCAGCCGTGTAGCAGCAGCAGTGCAGTAGGAGTACAGCAGCGGAGGAGCAGCCCCTGCTGTAATGGCTGTTGTGCGCCAAGATGACGGTAGCTCGGTCGTGGTGCGGTAAAGCTTGCCAGCTATTATTGCTTCTGCTCTGCTGGCTGTGCTGGCTCCTGGGCGGATAGTCGGAGGCAGTGGGAAGGGAGTGGCAAGGCCGAGGATCAGGAGGAGACATACCGAACACCTGTCTTGAATTGTGGGCCGTGATTTGTACAGCTATCGTGGCTACACAAATGAAAGAGATGAGAGATAGAGCAAGGCAGAGAAGCAACTCCTCGCGCAATTGTACCCCGAGCCAAAATTACCCGCCGATTGCTGAACCCCGTCAAACACTTTGTTGTGCACACACGCACACGCGCGTAGGCAGCTTGATAACCTTGCGTAGCCTTCGTTGTCGGCTTGCTTATCTCCTCGAGCTTCTGCAGAGAAAAAGAATGTACCGAACGTTCGCCACTCGCCAACGGCCACACACACGGCAAATCACAACGGTCGTTGTTGGCGCTACACTGCGCACGTCTCTTGGACGGGCACTCATCTGTGTCCCACAGGTAGGTGCGTCGCAGTGCCCCCTTGCTGTCTTGTAACATCGCAGTGTCCCCCTCTGACCACTTTCCTGTCGGCGTGCCTTGTCTCCCAACCTCTCCAATGTTGCATGGTGAGCAGCTGCTAGCAGCGTTCCAGGAAATAATGATAGTCTAATACTGGACTGCAAACAAATAGCGTGTGAGAACTTGTAGCGTGTCGGAACGCAAAAAAAGAATAGTGATTGCCGGCGGCGAGGAGCGTTACCCAGGCACTGGTCGCGAGCATTGCACAACCTTGGCGCGAATTTTTGGCAAGAAAAAACTTGTCGCGTTTTCAATGCATGCGTACAGATACCTTCCCACAAGAAGAGAAGTGCACTTCGCTCTTCTCCACAAAGAACCAATTTTAGAGGGGTGCAACATGACTGTTTTGCCTAGAAAAGGATGTCGGGATGTAACAATGTGCGGGTGCGCGCGGGAGCGTACCTTTGCGCGTATTCGGACGATGATACGCCGTAGCGGTGATTCAAAACGCCGTAAATGGTGCATGGATGCAGTGCATGATCAACAGCATGGGTCGGGAGCATGTGGTGAGTCATGCATAATCTACCGCAAACGTCTTAAGTCGCCGTTTCCCCTCATCCTGGCGGCCGAAAGCGTAGGTACACGGCCCTGTTTGAGGTGTTTCACCAAACGAAAACACGACAAAGCGCACAAAAACCATGAGGATTATGTATGGTATGGACGAACAATGTTGACTGACCCTGGCAGTAGGGGGTGGGTGTCAATTGGGCATGCCTTCGTGCGAGAACCGTGTTTTCGGATTTATAGCCCCAGCCGTCCAAATGTGGGTGAGCCGAACCAGAGCCGAAACCGCCAGAAAGTGCTCACAGCTCCAATCAAGTCGGGAGTTTTTGAGTTAATGAGCTCCGAATGGGTCCTAGACAACTCGTGAGAGACTCAAACCGGGACCGGAGTGTCGTCGTGTGCCCATCCTTCGCCCCCGATAACAAACAAGAATGCAAATGAAGTTTCTGTTTGTTTCAAAGTACGCCCGGTGGCGTGCCTTTGGCGCCCCTGAAACAGGCAATGCTTGCCATCACCGCACTTTTGTTTTCCAGTAATGCTACTCTCGTGCTCCTGATGCAGGCGGGCAACTTTCGACTGGAAGAGGAGTGTGCCTTGCTGTTTTGTTGAGAGGACGTGAGTGTTGTGAGAGCGCTGCAATGTGGCCCTGAAACATTCACACGAATATTGAGCCTCAGAACGGGGGTGGCTCCGGAGGGTGCCTTGCGAGCATTTCGACAAAATTGAATCAAAGGCTTGCATGGGCGGCCAAAAGCAGCGATCCACATGGTTTTGCGCACAGGGACTATACGACGCCGCTGGCTGAAGCGTGGCGGTCGAAAGAAAATGAAAACATGAACAGAGGCAAGTTGTCAGCAGGACGTTTACGTTTGCATGTCCTCCAACACAACGTGTGCGTCTTTTCTCGCGAATGAGCGCCTTTGGTCAACAATAATGGTTCTGCCGTCTTTTTCTTCTCGTGGTGCTAGTTTCAGTGTTCTACTTGAGCCGGACCCTCTCAACCCAAAAATGAAAACATGAACAGAGGCAAGTTGTCAGCAGGACGTTTACGTTTGCATGTCCTCCAACACAACGTGTGCGTCTTTTCTCGCGCATGAGCGCCTTTGGTCAACAATAATGGCACTGCCGTCTTTTTCTCGTGGTGCTAGTTTCAGTGTTCTACTCAAGCCGGACCCTCTCAACCCAAAAATGAAAACATGAACAGAGGCAAGTTGTCAGCAGGACGTTTACGTTTGCATGTCCTCCAACACAACGAGTGCGTCTTTTCTCGCGCATGCGCGCCTTTGGTCAACAATAATGGCACTGCCGTCTTTTTCTTCTCGTGGTGCTAGTTTCAGTGTTCTACTCAAGCCGGACCCTCTCAACCCAGCGCGTTGAAACTCGAATCCTAGCACGCAATACCCGCCTGGTGTGTCCATACTCCGCAGAGGGTACTATCGTCCTTTTTTTTTTCTTTTCCACATATGTCGCATGGGAGCTTCTTGTCTCGGGCTGCCTCGGTCGAAAGGGCGTGTAGTCTGTCACAAACATCCAAATAATGGAAGACCCTTCAAGCCTATCTCGCCTCGGTGAAACACATTTGCAAACCTGCGTAAGTACACAACAAGAGTAAAAAGAACGGGATAAACCATGCACGCACAGGACACCAACCCCTCTTTGAGCCTGCGCCCACTGTAGCCCCATAACGCGTGCCGTCTGTCACAATCATCCAAACAATGGAAGACCCTTCAAGCCTATCTCGCCTCGGTGAAACACATTTGCATACCTGCGTAAGTAAACGACAAGAGTAAAAAGAACGGGATAAACCATGCACGCACACGACACCAACCCCTCTTTGAGCCTGCGCCCACTGTAGCCCCATAACGCGTGCCGTCTGTCACAATCATCCAAACAATGGAAGACCCTTCAAGCCTATCTCGCCTCGGTGAAACACATTTGCATACCTGCGTAAGTAAACGACAAGAGTAAAAAGAACGGGATAAACCATGCACGCACACGACACCAACCCCTCTTTGAGCCTGCGCCCACTGTAGCCCCATAACGCGTGCCCCGTCCGACCTTGACCCCAAAATGCATCGCGTGTTTCCGTAAGGATACGCAAAACTCAAAGCGTCAAAACGGAACTGAGAAAAACAAGGTCAAGCCGCCCAAAGCAGTCAAACACGCACATCAACGGCTTGTCGCAGAAACACCTGCCGCATGTCCAGAGTGCAGCCTGGCACCCCAACACACTGGGTGAGGCGTGGCCGTCGACTTTGCTCAAGAGGGCGCCTAGTAGCTGCCTGCTGTACTTCCTATTCTGAAGCTCGTTGATGACACTGAGCGAGTACGTGAAATTGGGAAGGTCATGTTGTTGATAGACCGCAAGTACACGGCCTTAACCCCATGGTCGGACTCTTGGAGGGTAAGATTAACCCCACCGATATCTTCACACGTCGTCAAGCCACTGTACAGCTTCCTACAATCCGGCCCGAGGTTGTTCTCGTGGTGCCCATCAGGCCCGATGCGCATCTCCCTCTTGATAGGGTCCCCCTCGTCGTGGAAAATTGCATCGTAGCCAACCACCTTGCCTTCGTCCGTTGTGGTTGCGTGCGGTGCAGTGTTCCGCGCCAGGCTGAGCTCCAGCTCTTTGAGTGCGTAAACACCCCGCCCAAATTTATTTCCTCCACGCAAGGCGATCGCTTGCATTAAAACACGAAACACGAAAAACGGACGCAGGCATACCAACATGAAACACAGGCGTCAAATTGTGAAGAGGGCGGGCCCCGCCCTTGAAACGTGAAGTCAACCTGCCGGCCGTAGAGAACGCCTACTTGTATCGGTGCTCACAAAATAATACAACCCACCCATACCAGAGAAATGGACTCCCATCACCAGCCGGCGACTGGACAACATGCAAGTCACACGAGCAACTTTCGTGCAGTGCACTTCGTAAGTGCATACCCGAAAACTCTACCAAACAGAGAACGGCATCAATGCGCCGATACACGATATGCACCGAAAGCATGGAGCACCCGAATGTCACCCACCTCTGCACACCGAGCAGCGAGAGCTCCGACTCGAAGGAGTATCGTCGTACGTGTTCAAACTATTGTACAAAGGTGAGCGGTGCTGGGCAGCAAATGAATACCTCCCGCCCGCTAGCACCTTCACCACCGACATCACCACATCGGCGCACCTGCTCTCTCTCTTTCGCTTCTGCGGTCAAAGCTTTGAGGCAATCCACGATGAAGTCCACCTTGGCCTGCAGACAAGCACGGGCGCAGGGATATAGCATCGCGTCAATACATGTGCAAACGATGCACAAGCAGATTTGGCGATGCGGGTTAATAGAGCTTATTAACGTTGGGAAGGGGTCAGTCAGCAAGTCAGGATGAAGCAACAGCGTGGTATTCAATTTTTGCCTCCACCGGGCTGTCCAAGCGCATGTCTCCGTGTAAAGCCAACCCTTTACAGCGGGGTTGTAAGTGCACACAGGTTGGGTTTCACGTCGCACATCAAACCCAAAGCGGACCACCAAAACAAGCCGGAACAGTGGAGGCTTTTTTTCTGTTGCTTTACGCCACTTCAGCTGCGACTTTTCCGACGTTTTTTGTCTAGGGTGGAGTGGGCTCAATGCTTGCTTGCCTCAGTCAATTGACTGCTCACAACGCATTTCGAGACGGAGCACCGTCCACAGCTCACCAAACAAGTGCATATTATTCTGGCAACTTTTGAACGCATTGTTGCTCTCGAGGGGCGAGAGATACTCAACAGTTGAACCCGCCGGCCGAAAGACAGCATCCAATTTCCTCACCTTGGCGTATCTACGCAATCCCGTCGCCAGTTCCCCCTCAGGGATACAGGTGGCATGGAGCCACGATGGCAACGCGGACACCTTGCTCGCTTGCCTTGATCCCGATAACCCCACGAGCACCCGCAGTAGGAAACCCGCTGCATCAGCGTGGGTGAAGCCTCCGCCCTCGTCGCCCTCCAAAGGCGCGCGCGCAACCCATCCCGCAGCTTCTCCCGCAGCCCCTCCCGCAGCCCCTCCCACTGCCCCTCCCGCTGCCCCTCCCGCTGTGTCACCTGCTGCTTTTCGGTGCCAGTAGTAGGTGAAGACGAGCACTTCGAAGAGGGACAGCTCACACACCCCATCTCGGTGCAGGGCATCAAGCGCTCTCGTCGCTGTTAGCTTGCTTCGCCCTCCGACAACCTTGGAAAAGTTCGCGGCCCAAAGCAGCGCTTCGTCGGGGTCAACCTCGCTTTGGAGGCCAGGCCACGGGCCCGCCGTCTCGATGACGGCGTTCATGTCCTCGCGGTCGGTGGTCCTCTGGAGATCTTGAAACGTGCGAGCCGCTGTTTCCCGCGTGGCACTGTTGCGGTTGTTCCCCACGTGTGCCAGCTCGGGGAACACCACATTCCCTTCGCCGTCCCGCTGCAGCACCCCGGTCTTATCCTCCAGGAGCGCAGGGCAATACTTCTCAAGCCCCTTCACCAACTTGCACGCGGCGTCGTACGACAGGAGGTACGGTTTCACCTGCCAAGTAGAAGGCGTTCAGAGGCAACCTAATTGGAGATGCGATCAGTCGGCGTTAGCATTGACACTCCGCACACCACCTGCTACCCTCACGATGTTTTTACGCGCCATCCTACCACTGCACGTTTGATACCGACGCTCGCACTGTGCAAGACGGAAGAGGTCCACTTCAGGAGCCACAAAATGGTCCTCGGGGTTGCTTGCTTCTAGTTATGCATACTAATAATTTCTTCAATATCGGTGATTGACATGGTGCCGAATGCGCCGGGAAACGTGTTTGTGCTGTGCACGACCGTCAATGGCCGCGAGCGGTTAGTTCAACTTCGGGGGTTTTGACCGCCACGGGTTTGGATATCCACCGATAACGTTCCAAAGGAGGAAGCAACAGCAATAGCAAGGCCACACGGCGGGAGGTAGCTCTCTGCTTCATATTTCATGCCCAAGTTCTGGTGCCGTGGGGTTTCGTGCGCGTCGGGGAAAAAGTATTGATTGACACAAAAATACCCACGTCAGAAAGCCGTTGGTTCAAGTTCGCGAGGATTGTGTGCTCATGGTTTTGTTTTCCAGCGGTAACTTTTCGAAGGAGGAGACAACAGCAACAACAATGCCACCCCGAGGGAGCTAGCCCTACCCAGCATCTTTCTGGTATGAGGATAGATGCCTTGGGGTATCGTGAGTGTGGATAAAAAAGGCTTCGCAACTACCCTCTCCCGCACGCCCTGGCCGGTTTTTTCGCGGTGTGATGCGAAAGGCGTGTGCCCGCTTCTTGTCGTTGCTAAAACAAAAAAACAAACCTTCGCATTCCGCCAGTCCCGTGCACAAAACTTTCTTCATGTCATAACGAGCGTGCACCAAAATTTCCATTGACAAAAGTTCCCGGCCAAAGTTTCACTCAAACTTTAACTGTTCTCGCAACTTCCTGCAAAAGAAAGATATAAATTACTTGCCTACCTTCATCCACCTCATCCACCTCATGAAGTCAACTACGTTGTTTGGACTTTCGGCTGTGGGCAGCACCTTCCACGCCACCACAACGCCTGCCGGGGTGAAGACGCACACCATGCCTGCGGTCGCCACCCCCCCTCGACCGCCAAGGAACTGCTTGGAGCAGTCGCCGTCATGGAACAGCGCGCGAAACTTTGCGATGTAGTCCTCTTTCCTCGATAGCCTTGACCACAGATATAAGAGCATCGACAAGGCGGTTTAGGTTGACCGGAAAATCAGAAGCCTTCCAGAAAACAGCGAGGCGAGACGCTGTACGTTCTCCATTCATGTCGACTGCGAATTCAGTGCCAGACGACAGGACACATGCGTTGGGAAAAGCATCAGTTGGGGATTTGTTTTGCACGGCCCGGAAAGAGGCTGACCGGGGTTCGTACAACATGAAAACTAGGTTAGGGGTAACCTGGTCCCTCCGACTCTACGGCAGTCATCAACCTAACAGCAATGGGGAGTATGGGCCCGCCTCGTGTGGGAACACCAGCCGCACCCGCTCGCGCTCAAGGTGCCGAAGACGACCTTGTGTAGCTTCTTGAGGTCCTCGGCCGGCATCTCGTGGACCAGGTTGATACCCCCGCCTTTCTTCTCCAACGCCCCCAAGAGGTCCGCACGGTTGGGTGGCACGAACGTATAAACCGATTTCGGGGCCACCGCGCGATCCGTCTTGATCCCCCTCTCGGCACGCCGGTTGTCGGGCGACACCCACGCAGATGTTCTGCCGACGGCCTCCAGGTCCCCCAAGACGAACTGAACGCGCTCGGTGAAAAACACCGGCGACACCAAACTCAACTTGAGGCACAGCATCGACATGTCGAAGTCGAGAGTTGTTTCGGGTCTCGTCTTGTTCGCTAATTAGCACTTTGGTCAACGTGCTTACCGACATCTTCACGCAACCGTCCACGGTAAACACCTCCGAGTGCGAGCCCCACTGCAAGCACCGAAACTCAATCGGGAAGTCGATGACGGCTAAAAAGCCGAGGAATACGTTCGTGAGCGTAACGAAGAACTTGAGTCTTTATCAGTGATGCTGCGTTTGGCAAGACACACGCAAGGGAAGGGCCGCCAATGCCGTTCCAACAAGCAAGTTCAACATGGTATCGCCACCTCGCCTTCAGACGACTCGTCTTCCATCAAAATGAAAGTATACACAGAATTTGTCTCAATCGCACGATATGCAGCAGGCCGTGTAGGGGTTCTTTTATCGCGGACTTTCTTCGGGCGGCCGTACGGTTGAACACTCCAATACCAGGAACTCTTCTTGCATGGGAGACGTCTACACCCCACTGCAGTTGTAGCGGTTCGCTGTGAATACGCACTAGCTACTACGCTGGAACCTCTATGAAGCAAGCAATCATCCGACCTTTCCCACACCAAGGTCGAAATGTGACTTTTACCGTCTACTGTTTCCGTGTATACCATCTGTTGCAACAATGGTTTCTCCCGTGCACCTCCCTGCCTCGACCATGTTGACGGTCAGAGGAGGAGTCCTGCGTCCGTTTCCTAGGGATCCGAGAAATAGCTCAACGCCATGACATTGAAACGAAATAAAAATCGCATGTCCCAAGGCGACTGTGCAAACCCCGCAAGCTCCCACATAATAATCAGTTGTCGAACACGCGTATCGCATGCACAGGGCACTCTTAATAATCCCACACAGCATATACAGTGGGGGGCCCGCTATAGTGCCGGGTAGTGTCCAGAGGGAAAAGCGGCACTTTACCGGGCACCGGCAGTATTCAGAATAGTGCCTCAATAGTGCCGGTTCGGCAGTATTGAGGCTTCGAATATACCTCAGTAGTGCCGGTCCGGCACTACTGAGGAGGCGGTGATTTCATGGTGCAACGCTCAAGCTTTGCGGGGTCAACAGAGTACGATGTGGATCGTGGATCGAAAATGAGTGTAGGATTACTGGACGTCTAAGTCCTCGTTGCCCTCCTTCGATGTTGCCCGATAAAAAAGCCAACAGAGAGAAAGAACGACGACAGGAAGCGCACCGCACGAAAAGATAACGACCATTACTACTACCACAGCTGTTCTCCCCGCCCTTGCAACGTAGCAGCAACTCTCTCTCACGTGTGCCTGGCGCACCCCCTTGGATGTTACAAGAAGAAAAGTGGATTGCGGAGCTAGCCGGCATTTCGGACCCAGCCGTTGTGCGATACTAATCATCTCCGATAGGACTTGAGGAGGACGGACTGTAAAAGCTGTCGAGTATACTGCACTGCGTCTGCTCCTTGCTGCTGCTCTTGGCTGACCCAGGACTTCGAAAAATCCCCACAGGTACGAACAAACTCCTTCGTGTGTGGTCGAAGTTGGACTGCGTCTCTGTAGAAGCCCAACATGCCACCATCATGCACAACATACTACTGCTGCCGTTTACGTGTCGCCGTCCTTCCACGTCTACCTGTCCATGACACATGCTGCCACTTGCCGCGAAAACATCTGGGAACAACACGGACACAGGGAGTACCCCCGTGCCCTTACGCACAACCTCTCATTCCTCCCTTGTCAAACACAAATATAGACTACACATCATTTAAAATGATGTAGCATGCATGAAATGATAAACTCTGTCTATACTTGTGGTCNTGCATTCAACACACACCCACATGTCGGTGATGAAACCTCATCAACCACACGCCTCTATCGGCGACCACGTCATCAGGAGGCAATCATGAGAAAATGTTCTCCCGTGCCCTTCGCACATTTAACGACATGAAATTACACAACACAACATATATATATGAGACATACAAGACAGCTACCAAAGTGANGTCCGCGCTGCCCACAAATAGGAGAGGTAGCCATACCTCCTGCCTACACAAGGACGAGAGATGTGAACATACCCTCTGCATTTAACACACACCCACATGTCGGTGATGAAACCTCATCAACCACACGCCTCTATCGGCGACCACGTCATCAGGAGGCAATCATGAGAAAATGTTCTCCCGTGCCCTTCGCACATTTAACGACATGAAATTACACAACACAACATATATATATGAGACATACAAGACAGCTACCAAAGTGATTTTTGAGCCTGTCACCCGCAGGGGAGTTGTCCCTATATGCTGTCTAGGAAATCGTAGACATACAGGTAGTTTTCTCTGACGCTATGATTCCATTGTTAATCTGTCTCTGACTCTTTTCTATGGTAAAGATGGACTCGGTGTGTCATATATATATATATAGACTACTTCTTTTCTTTTCTTTTTAACGGTGAGACCACTCCCGTGTGCCCGCACATCAGCCGCATATACTCCGCACATATGCATACCAAACTGCAAATACGATTGTAAACTGATGGAGATTGCATGTCCTACAACTAACAGGGTGCGACACACAAAACGCCCGACTAACCAACAGTACCCAACACCTTTCGTCTGCACCTTCCCAACATAACATATATGAGACACACAAGACAGCTACCAAACTGATTTGTTGAGCCTGTTACCCACAGGGGAGATGTCCCTATATGCTGTCTGGGAAATCGTAGACACACAGGTAGTTTTCTCTGACGCTATGATTCCATTGTTAATCTGTCTCTGACTCTTATCTATGATAGAGATGGACTCGTTGTGTCATATTAAGAAAAAGAAANTGTGCCCGCACATCAGCCGCATATACTCCGCACATATGCATACCAAACTGCAAATACGATTGTAAACTGATGGAGATTGCATGTCCTACAACTAACAGGGTGCGACACACAAAACGCCCGACTAACCAACAGTACCCAACACCTTTCGTCCTCACCTTCCCAACACATACATGAGACACACAAGACAGCTACCAAACTGATTGTTGAGCCTGTAATTCGCAGGGGATATGTCCCTATATGCTGTCTGGGAAATCGTAGACATACAGGTAGTTTTTTCTGACGCTTTGATTCCGTTGTTAATCGAGCTGTGTTAATCTGTCTCTGACTCTTATCTATGATAGAGATGGACTCGTTGTGTCATATTAAGAAAAAGAAAAAAAGAAAAGCACGACAGGAAGCGCACCGGAAGAAAAGGAAACAACCATTGCTACATACAACAGCTGCACCCCTTCTTACTCCGAGTCTTATTACTCCGTAGGGGCAACAAACTCTCTCATGTCTGCCTGGCGCACCCGGTTAGCGGAGTGCGCTGCAATCATTGCCATCTTCGCTTTCGTTAGGAAGAACGCCGCGTCTCCGTTGCCACTCTCATCTGCTGCCGCTTCTAGGACGCTGAAGTGAGGCGACAGCTCAGCATAAGCAGGTGAAGCACGGCGCTCGGGCCCCGTGTTGTCATCGCCACTGCCCTCCTCTTCGCCCTCCTCCTCGCCGCCTGTTGTCACGTGCATTCCAGCCAGCAGTGCCGCCATTTCGTCCACTGCGTCCAGTCGAAGAGCCTCTGCCACCTCATCGTCGTCCTCGATGGTAGCCCACCCCTGAATGGCGCTCACCGCTTCTCCCTCGACCGGCTTTCCGGGTTCGATGTCGAGTTCCGCGAAGAGCTCGCTGATCTCCTCGTCCACGGTGCCGGCTCGCTGCTCGTGCGCGTCGCCGACGCTCGTGCTCATCTTGTTGACGGTCTCCGTGAGAGCCTTCAAGTCANTAGCCCACCCCTGAATCGCGCTCACCGCTTCTCCCTCGATCGGCTTTCCGGGTTCGATGTCGAGTTCTGCGAAGAGCTCGCTGATGTCCTCGTCTACGGTGGTGCTGGCTCCCTGCCTGTGCGCGTCGCCGACGCTCGTGCTCATCTTGTTGACGGTCTCCGTGAGAGCCTTCAAGTCAGGCTCGGATGTTAAACCGAGTCTTTCCGTGTTGTTTGGTGAGCTCAGCCGCCATCTCCGGAGGAAGCGTGTCGGCCTTGACAAAGCACCTGGTCCCAGGTAGCAGAAAATGCAATGCATCCGTGTTTGGGTGGACAAGCGATGTTGGACGGGAGTGACGAAGAATGACTCATGGGAATGCGAGAGAGGACCCTTTCGTAGAACCGGAGAAATGGGCATGTCCGGGTGCTGCAATACTCTGTTGAAGAAAAAGGAAACCCATGCGAAACTATCCGTACAACCGTCCCCACGTATCGCACCACCAAAGCCACGCGCACTTGCGGGAGCTGAAAAAAAAACAGCAATACCACATGTTCAAACCTCACCTGGCGATATCCTGGGCGGTGACGCTGGCCCATGCTTTCTCGAGAAGTTCAGCGGCGTCCCGCACGTGAGGTTGGTGCCCTTGCGCCAGCCCCATTGTCCCGGCCTTCATCTTGCGGGCGTTCGCCTGGGCGCGAAGTGTGTCAGCCACGAACATGGTTGATGTCTTCACACCGATCAACTCCTTCCTGTAGACGACTTTCGTCTTGGCGATGACCCCCAGATCTATGGGCTGGTGTACGGAGGTGCACAGCGGAGGGTAGGCCTTGGTGATCACTTGCCCCCAGTCATCCACGAGACCAACGTGAGAGGCAACGTGAGAGGAACAGCCGTCCATCAGCAGCAGCAAAGGTTCGTGAGTGAAGCGCCGAACGAACGGGAGGAAGACTTCAAGCCACCACTTGAGGAACGTCGCAGAGTCGGACCACGCGTTGGCCTGCGAGAAGTACTTCAGAGGTGAACCCCCGTCCTTGAAGCAGCGGGGTTCCTTTGCCTTCCCGATGATGGCCATGCCCACCTTCGCAGTGTCGTCGGCATTGCAGCACATGATGGTAGACAGTCGGTCCTTGAAGTACATGCTCTTTGAACCCCGCGCCGTCCTCCGATCCTCCGAGGTGGAAAGGTACGTGCGCCTGGGCAGGAGCTTCCACTGGAGGCCTGTCTAGTCGACGTTGAAGTTGAACCTAGCCGGGTACTTCGCGCAAAGGGCCCTGATTTCGTCCATGCCCTCCTTGGTAGCCGCCCTGTCGACGCTACCAGCCTCGCCACGAAGTCGCATGCTGTGGATGTTGTTGCGCTTCACGAAGTTCTTTGCCCATTTTTCGCCGGCCTTGAAGTCCTTGACCCTCGCCCTTACTGCTGCAGAAGTTGCGGTGTCAGCCAGCAGGGTTGTCCTGGCGGAACGGCCGAAGCTTCGAAGGACATCGCGTGTGACGGGCATCTTGGCCTTCCGGGCTTTGGCGAGCAGATAAAGAGCTATCGCATCCACCTGCCGCCAAGAAGCGAGTAAACAAGCAGAAGGTCTTATCATTAGTTTCGAACATTAACATGCATCCTACACTGTGCGGCGCGGTCAGGCGGGACAACACAGCAGTCGTACCTTAAAGAGAGACACAACAAAACACACAAAAAAAAAGGAATGGATTATGTATATTATGTCTGCTGTACATATAATACGGAGTACATAAAAAAATTAGAATAGGAAAGACCCAAAGAGGGGGACATCAACAGCGGACTATCCATACAGAAAGGAAAGGAGGATGAAAGCGGACATACATATTGAGAAAACCGAGACAGACAAACAATGGACTGAAAAAACAAGAAAGACAGCATCCCAGTGAAAAAAAATGAAGAACGACGAAAAGAAAAAAAACATGGACGAAAAAAAGTCTCCCTTGCGCGCGGTTTTCTGGGTGCCGCTGCCTGCAGCAGTCGCAGCCTCCACCTTCTTCCAGTCAGCCTTCACAGTCCTAGNCCACCGCCCTTGTCCTTCTGGCGCTTAGATGGTCCCGCCCCAGCACCGTCAGCTGCTGCCGCTTTGCGCTTGCCAATCCTGGTAACGCACGTGCTGCATATACGGTGCGTCTCGATGTCGTCAAACACGCTGCCGCAATTGCCGTGGAGCCGCCCTCCACATCCTCCCTGGCAGACGTGGCCATGAGGGTCTTGCGTCGTTCTGTCCTCTTGAAGGCACAGTTCACCTTGCGCACAAGGCATGGTGCGCCTCTGCTTAGAGCTCTTAGGGTCTGCAACAGCAGGTGTACACTCCGTCACTGTGGCGTTTATCCTCTGGTGTCGTGGTGTGTGCGAGTGTGTGTGTGTGTGTGTGTGTGTTTTTATTATTAGCATCGACCGCGCTAACCGGCTGACCAATGAAAAGACGTCAGTCTTAGTGCGGTTGAAAACACAAAACACTTCTGTCTACCATGAACTGGGACCCCGTGAGGGGGCAGCATGGGGGAGGCTAAACTATCCTTCGGATTAAAAACAGAAACAGCAGCAACAGACGAAAAATGCACGCGTCTACCAAGGCTATTACCTAGTACTCGAGTTCGTTTAGGAGTACTTTCACCAGTGTCCTCCTTGTTTTCGCTACCATCATTCTGATCCTCATTTCGACAAGAAGAATCTCTGGGCAGTTCTTCCCTAGCCCTACGTTTCTTGTTGTGGGGAAGGTCATCTGGCTCAAACCCTTTGCTCTCTTCCACTCCTC